TTTCCTTTGCTAAAGTAAGGAAACTTTGCTTTCTTTGCTCCTATAAACAAACTCGCGAGACTATCATATCTCAGAGGCGCAGGCGCTGCGCATACGTGCTGCGTCATCCGCCGGAACTGCTTTAGTGTATGACAGATACCGGAAGTGAGAGAAAAGTGTTTATTACATTTGAAATATGGATATCTTTCTTACAAAAACGCATGGATTCGCTACAGGAGGCCTTTATTCACCCCAGAGCTGTGAGGGGCACGTTTTATTATGGATGTGCACGCTTTATTTGACGACTTGTGGACTGTTCAACTGCAACACCCACTGACTGCAATGATAGAGCTTGGAATAGCCAGGACAATTTTTAATATAACTCCGACTGGATTCATCTGAAAGAAGAAAGTCATATACACCTAGGATGCCTCGAGGGTGAGTAAAACGCAGCCTAATTTTCATTTTTGGGTGAACTAACCCTTTAAATGGGATTTGGCTGTAGTGCACAGCTTTGAGTCATTTGCCTTTTTTTGAGTGCTGGAGCAGTAGGGAGTTGGGTGCCATTTTCTTTTGTCCTCATTTTCTCCTGTTTTTGCTAGTTAGGAAGTCAGGTAAGAATTCTGTTGTTTATTGGTATTTATTTTTATCCTTCGAGGTAAGCTAGATTTCCTTCTTACAGATAGTAATCTTTTGTTTGTTATTTTGGCTTTACCTACTCCTGAAGAGATGCTTCTCTTATGTTGAAATTGTTTGCGTAGATCTTTTTACACTGTATATATGTCATTTGTTTATTGTAAATACATTTACTGGCATCTTACTTTGTGTACTGAGTGCTTGGACTGAGAACAGTTAAAATCTTTACTTTAAAACGTTACTTCGCTTTTGCCCCTAGAAATCTAATTTGACACGTAGCATTGTATACAGATGTATTAAAGTAACGTACATATTCACAGGCCAAACATTTTTCAAATCAACATGTTGCTAACACTTGAAGCTATACAGCTTATAAGCAAATAAAAGGGTTTTTAAATCGAGTCCTCTTAAGTGAGTTGTAATGTTCCTTTTCTTCTCTGTCATGACAGTCAATTTATATATCCTTCCCTGGAGAGAATGTTTCAAAACTAGTGCTAGGTCACATCAACCCTTTCAGCGGTGTAATTAAAACTCGTGCCAACAAAGAACAATCGCCATCAATCTCCATTCAGCAGCTTCCTCTCCAAGCCAGCAACTGCACTATAAAATACTGCACAATGTTTCCTCACTATGTACAATGAATAATGTTTTTTACATTCCTCATGATGTTGTGTTTTTCTAAAACTTGACAGACACAAATAAAAGCTGACAATAATTTAAATGTACATCTTACATGATCAATTCTATTATTTCTGAACAATAAATCAATTGCACTGAGATCTAAATAAAATAAAAATAAATTAAATAATAGAATTCTTACAGTGGCACACTACCTTAAATAACATGCCATAATCTGTCAATGCTATTTGGTTTTAAATTATAACTAGTATATTTTAGTAGTAGTAATATTAATAGTAGTATATTTAGTAATAGAAGTAATAGTAATAGTAGTGTATTTTTTTTTTTTACTTTTGCCTGCCAAATAAATTTCCTCAAAGGTTTATTGTATTGTAATCAGAAAGTCATTCTGGTTAACACTTTAGGTTCCATTTGTTAACCTTGGTTAACTAACAATGCAAAATGCTACATTATTAAAGTGAAAAATCATTCAAATCTAAAGTTGTATCTGTTAATATTATTTAATAGAGCTGAGCTAACATGGACTAACAATAAACAGTTGTATTTTTTATTAGATAACATTAACAAAGATGAATAAATACTGTAAAAAAAATGTACTGCTCATTGTTAATGTTAATGTATTGTGAGATAAACTCGCAATTGTGACTTTCTCAGAATTGCGAGTTCTTATCTCGCAAGTTTCCCCCCCTGCAATTCTGATTTTATAACAGGTCATTTTGAATTCTAAACTCAAAATTCTGAGAAATATACTTACAATTGTAACTTTTTCTCAGAATTGCAAGTTTCTTGCAAGTTTTTTTTTTTCCGCAATTCTAAATTTATAACATGCAATTGTGAATTATAAACTCAGAAGTTTGAAATACAAACGCGCAATTGTAAGAAAATAGTATTTTTGTTCCCTCAGAATTGGCCTTTATTACTCACAATTGTGAGTTTACATTGCACAATTCTGAGGAAAAAAAATCAGAATTGCGAGATTAAAAAAATCCTTTTTACAATTTTTTTTATTCAGTGGCGGAAGTGGGCTTCCATGATACATATAGCACGTTTAACAATAATGCAAATGATTACATTTCTAAGAACTTGATGTGTTTTAAAAAGATTTTTTTCCCATCATCATCATCAAATAATGTAGACTGGGATCTGTCATTGAACCATAAACTTCTGATTGGCTCACAGGGTAGACATGGTCCCCCAACATATCAAGTCTGTTCTTTTGAACGTTCTATTATCAAAGAATCCTGAAAAACTGTATCATGGTTTCTACAAAATGTTAGGCAGCAAAAACTGTTTTTATCATTGATATTAATATGAACCATGATTAATAATTGAGCACCAATAATATATGATAATATATGAGCAGCAAATCAGCATATTAGAATGATTTCTGAAGGATCATGTGACACTGAAGACTGGAGTAAATTCAGCTTTGCCATCACATAAATAAATTACATTTTAAATCAGAAAACAGTTATTCAAAATAGTAATAATTTTTCACAATATTAAATTTTTTTATGTATTTTTGATTAAATAAATGTAGCCTTGATGAACAAAAGAGTATTCTCTTAAAAAAAAAAAAATCTTAATTATTCTAAACTTTTAACCAGTAACATATGTTTTTGGCCCCTACCTTCTGTGATGTGTAAAGATCTTAGAGATGGGGCGTTCGAGCGGTTAAGCTGTGCTGATTTGATTCCTACTTCAGAGTGAGGAGCCTTTGTGGGTGCTAGGGAAGACCTGGCAGCTGCTAAGGCTGAGTTCACCCTACAGGAGTCCTCCCAATCCACACGGCCCGTGTCCTCTCTGGAGCTGGAGTCTGGACTGCTGGTGCAGGTGGGGCCCTGCGGCTCGCTGGAGGACAGGGAGGAAGGGGTATGTCGCAGGCCGGGGAAGGGGGGCTTGTCTTTGGGCTGTGGAGAGGAGCAGGTTTTGGAGGAGCTGTTCTGCTCTGAGGAGTGGGAGGAGAGGGAGTCCATACTGCCGATTGGAGTGCTGCCTGAACTACTGCTGAACGTGTCACCTGCAGGGGGAGTAAGAAGAACATGTGCCGTGAATACATATAACAGCTGAAAACTCATTACATTTCTTAATACAGTCACTATCTTGTGAAAATAAATACATGAGCCGATTAAAGCTGCATTCCGTAACTTGATTTGGTTAAAAATGATCCAAAATCAATTACTGAGCAAGTACATAACCAATCAGTGTTCAAAACTATCTCCTTGCCTTAGCCCGATTCACAACGGAAAGCTTGCAATTAGGGGTGCTCCGATTGATCGGCTACCGATCACTATCGGCCGATAATCACATTGGGATGATTGATCGGCGGTCTCTAAAAAGGCCGGTCTCAAAAAACGATCTCAAGCTGATGACGCTGCTGTGTGAGGTTTGGCATGAAATGCAGCGGCACTATCTCAATCGCTGTCTGGCGCGGGTAAAATAATTATAATGCTGAAGGTGAGGTACTCACCTTCATATTTCTTAATTAAATAACTTATAAAGTAATTTTCAAACCTTGTGTGAGACGTAATTTCACAAACAGCGTGAGTCTGTTTCTCTTTCTCTCTCAAAATATGCAAATGTCTTTAAATCACCTGTAGCGAATCAGCTCATGGGGAAATATGAATAATTAACCATAACTTCTCATATTTTTTCCATAATCATATGCGCTTAGTACAGCCACAAAAACACTTCAGTTTGAGTTAAAACACTGTGACTGTAAACATTAACTGCAGTCATTAGCTGGGGGTTTACAAATGTACATTCATTAACCAGGTTTAATTAATAGCCGAGGGTAAAGTATGAACAATGCAAAACGCTGAAAAAGATAACTTGGGATAAACAATTTAATTTAAATGTGAAAAGGCCGCAAGTCATCTTAGCTGAGCCATGAGGCACCTAAAGCCCTCTCAGATCTTTGCTTACAATTCAGCTGGGAAGCTTTTTACAGAATCCACTAACTCCAACAGTGTATTTGTTCTGCTTCCCATGAGAGGTTCATATTTGAGTAAAACCATGAAAAATTGTGTCTCACCCAAGTAATTGTGAGAGATGTTGAGCTCTTGGATGTGTATGAATACAGCTCCTTTGGGGATTCTTACCACCTCCTCATAACCTAAGAGAGAACACACACACACACACACACACATACATTTATTCCAGTGATGGCAAAGCTGGATTTTCAGCATCATTACTCCAGTCTTCAGTGAAATTATTCTAATATGCTGATTTGGTGCTTAATTAATATTATTATAAAAGTTGAAAACGGTTTTTGTTGCTTAATTATTTTGTTACAAAACATTTCTGTTTCAAATAAATGCTGTTCTTTTGAACGTTCTATTATCAAAGAATCCTGAAAAACTGTATCATGGTTTCTACAAAATGTTAGGCAGCAAAAACTGTTTTTATCATTGATATTAATATGAACCATGATTAATAATTGAGCACCAATAATATATGATAATATATGAGCAGCAAATCAGCATATTAGAATGATTTCTGAAGGATCATGTGACACTGAAGACTGGAGTAAATTCAGCTTTGCCATCACATAAATAAATTACATTTTAAATCAGAAAACAGTTATTCAAAATAGTAATAATATTTCACAATATTAATTTTTTTTATGTATTTTTGATTAAATAAATGTAGCCTTGATGAACAAAAGAGTATTCTCTTGAAAAAAAAAAAATCTTAATTATTCTAAACTTTTAACTTTACAGACATTAAAAATATAGAAAATATATATAGAGAGAGTGAAATGTCTACTTTCAATTGAACCAATTCTCAGATTATGGAATCCGTATGAAACAAAGTGCATCAGTACTGCGGAGATGATGAGTCAGTGTCACATGCAGTTCATCTCTTAAACCGAGAACAAAGAAAGCAGTAGCTTATCAAATAATTAAAATGTTAATGCAGTCTCCTTACTGTTTTTCACTGACACATTACTTCTGCCGGTGCACTGTGGCAAGCTTTATGCATGTGCTTGAGCGCATATGGCTATGTAGGCAATTTAAGGCTCATTATAATGACTTAAACAGTTTATTAATAAACGTGGGATTAGTCGACTAATGTTTCAAATGAAAGACTACTAATCGAACAGAAAAAATCCTTAGTCGAGGGCAGTCCTAGTGTTAATTATGTTCAATTTACTGGTTTCAAAATATTAAAATGAATTTCTTACGCTAACATAAAACACAGAAGATGTACTCTCAGCAGTGAATGTGAAATGTGAGGATTACTGGCCGTGTGAGACTCACTGTCCGCGTCTGCCAGGCACATTGAGGGTGTGTAGAGGCTCTTGGGTTTGCGTGGTCCAGATGAGAGACATATGGCTCTGCTCCTTCGAGACCCTGGACAAGAATGAGGCTGTGGCAGGGGAACATTAGGGTCCGGCGCTTGATGAAATGTCTGTGAAGACAAAAATAAAAAAAATATTACTATTTTATTCAGCAACGATTCATTCAATTGATTAAAAGTGACAGAAAATACTAGATTTCTATTTCAAACAAATGCTGCTCTTTTGATTCTTTGATTTCATTCATTCATCAAAGAATCCTGGAAAAAAGAATGCATCACAGTTTTCACAAAAATAACCGTTTTCAACATTGATAATACTAATAAATGTTTCTTGAGCACTAAATTAGCATATTAGAATGATTTCTGAAGGATCATGTGACACTGAAGACAGGAGTAATGATGCTGAAAATTCAGCTTTGCCATCACAGGAATAATTTACATTTTAAAATATATTAGAATAGAAAACAATTATTTTAAATTGTAATAACGTTTCACAATATTACCTTTTTTTCTGTATTTTTGATACAATAAATACAGCCTTGTTGAGCATACACTGCCAGTCAAAAGTTTTTGAATAGTAAGATTTTTTATGTTTTTTTAAAGAATTCTCTTCTGCTCACCAGAAAAATACAGTAAAAGCAGTAACACTGTGAAATATCTTTACTATTTAAAATAACTGCTTTCTATTTGAATATATTTTAAAATGTAAAATAATTCCTATGATTGCAAAGCTGATTTTTTAGCATAATTACTCCAGTCATCAGTGCCACACATGATCCTTCAGAAATCATTCTAATATTATGATTCGCTGCTCAAATAACATTTGACTGGTAGTGTAAGAGACTTTTTTTGAATCGTCGCTCCGGCCTGACAGGGTATCACAGTATGGTAGGGGCGTAACATTTCCGTCATACGCTTAAGGTATCCGGCCAATCACAACGCACTGGATAGCCGGCCAATCAGAGCACACCTCGCTTTTCAGACCGATGAGCTTTGTAAAAATCGACGTGTTTCAAAAAGGCGGGGCATAGAGGAGAGACAATAATGTACAGTATGTGGAAAATAATGTGTTTTTTGAACCTTAAACCGCATAAACACATTTCATTACACCAAATACAGAAAATAATGTTCTTTTTAGCAACATCATATGACCCCTTTAAAAAATCTTACCAACCCCAAAACTTCTGAAAGTTAGTCTATATAGACATATACAGATATAGATACAGCATGAATGTATAATTTCTTACAGGAGTATGTTGTGTATTATCTTGCCTTTTCAAAATGTTCAATGAGAATTTCTACCACGATATTTTGGAATTTGATGTTCATCATGGCAGCAACAGTTTCTTCCTGGGAGCGCATGAGCGTAGGGCCAAAGATCACTCCCAGATTGGACACGGTCATCATGTTACTCTCACTGTGAGTGGACACACTGCAGAGACACGTCAGTCAAATGATGAAGTGGTGAAGCCCACAGATCAAGTACGTCTTGGTCTGGGTTAAGCTAGTTAAGAAGTCTTGTGAAGACGCCAGCACCCAAAACACAACAATGCTAGTGACCAACCATCTTATTTACAACATTTTGCTCTAAATAAATCTACAACATATTACTTGAGACTAAGAGTGAGTTTAGGGAGAGAAAAGTTTTCCTTTCAACAGTAAAAAAATGTATATGAATCCACGTTCAGTCATACTTGAGTAGATGTTTGATTAATATCTCCAGCATCTCTTTGTTTTTGTCAGGTAGTTTATGCACCAGCGCGTGAACTGCACACACTCTGTAGTTCTGATCATCAGATTCTGAAAGAAAACAGACCAAATATATCAACACACCATCAGCACAAACTCAACACAGATTTATAGCTTTTCAGTGTCTTAATGCTTAACATGTAATTCAAAAGCTTTAGAACTTACTGACAGCCAAGAGGAAGTCTGAGTGGAGCTTGTAGGTCATGAGAGGCTCAGAAAGACACCTGATGGACGGAGATGAGAATTACATCTTGTTAGCTCTTCTCTCAGAAAAGCTTTTGGTTACTTTTAACTCTCTCAAATGGAGAAAGTTACACTCTATTTCAGTGTAATCTTGCTGAATGTACAGTTCCCACTAGCATTTTGAATCTCCATTATGAGTAATAACATCAGCCTGTAACATGTAGCAAAACCTGAGGAACACACTAACCGGAGGTAATTCTTGAGGCCGCTGGTGATGGTTTTGTTGTCCCAGGTATCTGGGTCCAGATCCATGTCTGACGCCGCTTTGTGTGCTGTAAGAGAAAACCAGGAACAAATGTGCAAATGCTGGAGTGATATTAAAGATGTCTGACCCATGGAAAACTGCTAATTCAAAAATGTCATATTTAAAAAAAATAATAATAATAATTGCAAGAAAATGAAAGTAATTTTTAGGATCATTAACATAATTTTCATGACAGTTAAGCCCACTATAAATAATTTATCCAAATTTATTGGATTGAATGTATCCTTATTTTCTATGGACAAAGATAACGAGGGGTTTTTGCATTACAGTAATGACAACTGGAGGTGAAAATGTAGATAACTGTCAAGAAAGTGTCAGAGTGCAATGCTCATTTTCCCTTTTGAAAATATAGTCTCATTTCTTTCATTTTCTTTAAAAAAAGAAAAATGATAAAAAAAACATTATATTTATGTTTTGAGAATCTATCTATCCAGGAAAGAAATGTCCTTGCGAAGGGGAGGGGAATACCATGTTTTTGAACATTTAAAATTATTATGAATATATTATAATAAACTATGTAACATTCCATACATAATATAAGAATTGTAAATTTTTGTTTCATGGTGACAGTGTTTATAGTTTAAGTTAATCTGTGAAGTTATTACACTTGATTTAGGTTTACAGACTGAATCAAGACATTTGTTGAGATCTTTCAGAACAAGATTAAAAGCCACCAGATGTGACGTTAAGCTCCAAAATAAATTCATTTGACAATGTTTGTGCAAGAGGGGACTGCTTCAGAGTGATTGATTTTTGCAACCCCGATCTGAAACACACATTTGCTTGTCTAGTTCTCGAGGCTGGCATTAGATGTGTAGAGAGAAGTAACTTACAGAAGACTGTGGTCATGAGCTTCTGCACTTTTGAGTTTATTCCACCGACTCTGTACAAACCCATAGTGTTGAGCCCTGCTGAGAGGAGAATATATACAGTACATACAGAACATACACAAATATGTAAACACAACACACATGCATAATTACCCTACATTTTGAAAGAGAGAGACCAAAGGACATATGAATGACTTCATCTGATGTCAGATATGACCTATTATACCATATAGAAAGCTTTTACCAACTGATGTAAGACAAGTTCAACATTTTTAAATCTTTTTAATTTTGACTATATAAACATTATTAACCAATAATATATTTTATAATTGTTATAAAATCACACACACACGCACACAGGCCTATTATTATTACAATTAGGAAGCAAAAAATATATATAGAATGCTTTATCCACGATAAATATCCTATACATGAGATAAGAGGAAATCAGTACTCCAGTAAACACACATCTCACCTCTCAACTCCACCAGCTGTATACACTTCCTCACAAAATTAAAGCCAGCTTCATTTAAATATGCTGCAAAAGACAGGTGAAAAGAAACAACATGTTCAATAGATGGATTTAGCTCGTGTCACACTCTGGGGGATACGGCTTACTCCGGATGTAATAAATGAATGTAATGCTATCGACCTTGTAAAAGTTAATGAGAGAGCAGAGACACACAAAGGGTGTAGCGAAGGGAAACAGAACACATTATCTGAATCTGTGTTTGTTAAGCACAGTTAATCTGATGAGACCACATGAGGTCAGACTCAAACGTCAAGCTCACTCTGACTGAAAAAAAATAAAATAGGCAAGACATAATATAAAATAAAATTAATGAATAATACTGTGGCTGTGCTTAAAGACTTAAATACGTACTCTCCTCTTTCTTGCTCAGAATAGCAGGAAGGTTGTAGATCTGAAAGAGAGAACAAATATGTTATTACTGTATATTTAGTTAATCGAGAATTACTTGTTGAGCAATAAAATTGCAGATAAATGGCATATCGATTTTTACATGTTCTGACGAAAATACCTGAGCTTGAGGATCTTCTGAAGCTTGAATCAATACAGAAGCAAGTGATGACAACTATGTCAAGATTGTATTAAATCAGGCAATAAATTAGCTTCAGGACTCACCGGCTCTTTGCCATCCATAGCTTCCAGCCAGAGTCTCCTGTTGGACTCAGACAGCGCTTGTAGCGTGATAATGCCATGCCTGAAGACAACACAGCACTTAAAAGTCTGACATGCTCTAGAAATATCTTACTCATCTACCTAATATAGTTCCTGAATAGAACCTTTGCTTGAATATGTTTAGAGAAACTGAAGCATGTAAAGAACTTTTCCACGACATTCTAATTTATTGAGATGCACCTGTAGACCCAAATGAAATGTTGCCACATCATATACAATTCACCCCGAAATGAAAATTGTGTCATTATTAACTCATCCTGATGTCATTCCAAATGTGAATGACTTTCTTTCCTCTGTGGAATGTAAAATAAGATATTTTGAAGAATGTTGGTTACCAAACATGTTTTGGTTACCACTGACTTCCATAGTATGAAAACTGTTTTCAGTAAATGATGAACTATGGTGAACTATCCCTTTAAGTCAGGTTGAATAGCAATTGCTCACCCAAAAAAGTTGATGCCATTTCAAACCTGTATGACTTTCTTGCTTAAATGGAACACAAAGAATGTTCAAACTGCTCTTTTCCATTCAATGAAATACACAGTGAGTAGTGGCACAAAGATTTTGCACTAAACTATCTTATTGATTTGGAATGTACAAACCCGATTCCAAAAAAGTTGGGACACTGTACAAATTGTGAATAAAAACAGAATGCAATGATGTGGAAGTTTCATATTTCTATATTTTATTCAGAATACAACATAGATGACATATCAAATGTTTAAACTGAGAAAATGTATCATTTTATGGGAAAAATAAGTTGATTTTAAATTTCATGGCATCAACACATCTCAAAAAAGTTGGGACAAGGCCATGTTTACCACTGTGTGGCATCCCCTCTTCTTTTTATAACAGTCTGCAAACGTCTGGGGACTGAGGAGACAAGTTGCTCAAGTTTAGGAAAAGGAATGTTGTCCCATTCTTGTCTAATACAGGCTTCTAGTTGCTCAACTGTCTTAGGTCTTCTTTGTCGCATCTTCCTCTTTATGATGCGCCAAATGTTTTCTATGGGTGAAAGATCTGGACTGCAGGCTGGCCATTTCAGTACCCGGATCCTTCTTCTACGCAGCCATGATGTTGTAATTGATGCAGTATGTGGTCTGGCATTGTCATGTTGGAAAATGCAAGGTCTTCCCTGAAAGAGACGACATCTGGATGGGAGCATATGTTGTTCTAGAACTTGGATATACCTTTCAGCATTGATGGTGCCTTTCCAGATGTGTAAGCTGCCCATGCCACACGCACTCATGCAACCCCATACCATCAGAGATGCAGGCTTCTGAACCGAGCGCTGATAACAACTTGGGTTGTCCTTGTCCTCTTCAGTCCAGATGACATGGCATCCCAGTTTTCCAAAAAGAACTTCAAATTTTGATTCGTCTGACCACAGAACAGTTTTCCACTTTGCCACAGTCCATTTTAAATGAGCCTTGGCCCAGAGAAAACGCCTGCGCTTCTGGATCATGTTTAGATATGGCTTCTTTTTTGACCTATAGAGTTTTAGCCGGCAACGGCGAATGGCACGGTGGATTGTGTTCACCGACAATGTTTTCTGGAAGTATTCCTGAGCCCATGTTGTGATTTCCATTACAGTAGCATTCCTGTATGTGATGCAGTGCCGTCTAAGGGCCCGAAGATCACGGGCATCCAGTATGGTTTTCCGGCCTTGACCCTTACGCACAGAGATTGTTCCAGATTCTCTGAATCTTTGGATGATATTATGCACTGTAGATGATGATAACTTCAAACTCTTCGCAATTTTTCTCTGAGAAACTCCTTTCTGATATTGCTCCACTATTTTTCGCCGCAGCATTGGGGGAATTGGTGATCCTCTGCCCATCTTGACTTCTGAGAGACACTGCCACTCTGAGAGGCTCTTTTTATACCCAATCATGTTGCCAATTGACCTAATAAGTTGCAAATTGGTCCTCCAGCTGTTCCTTATATGTACATTTAACTTTTCCGGCCTCTTATTGCTACCTGTCCCAACTTTTTTGGAATGTGTAGCGCTCATGAAATCCAAAATGAGCCAATATTTGGCATGACATTTCAAAATGTCTCACTTTCAACATTTGATATGTTATCTATATTCTATTGTGAATAAAATATAAGTTTATGAGATTTGTAAATTATTCCATTCCTTTTTTACTAACAATTTGTACAGTG